TTATAAAGATTATCGATTAGATATACTTATATATAATTAAATCTATATTAATAAAATGGAAATTTCATAAGTGGACATCACTAAAAACTTTCGTTACAATGCATCAATTTCGACCAAATTTTCAACATTTATGTAAAACGAGATGGAGCAGGTTTTGCTTAACATCAAAATATTTTTCCTAACTTTAACATACATAACTTTGCTGTTATCGATAAAATACAAAAAAATTCAACAGAGTTAAAGTGTTTACACTTTCAAAAGTGTTTACACTTTTGCGCTTCTTGGAAAATTAGTTTTAATCTTTTTTATATATATTTTAATAACTTTTATACATGGTAAGATACTTTTATTTTATAGTTTTCATATTTTATACCAAAAAAAGTTGAAGCCTTACTTGATGAGATCAATTTTATATTTTAGATAAATTTTTAGGCTAATTTTAATTTATTTCTTTTTTATTTTATATACATATTATATATGCTATTTCTAACTTACGTGGTTAGTATTTTTATAAGACTAAGGTTATTTATATTATTTTTTACAAAAAAAGATTGAAATTTCATTAATGTGCTCAATTTTATGTCTTTTTTGAGGACCTTAACAAAATTTTTAATTAATTGTTTAGATATTTAAATAACAGATTATTTATGGTGTTTTCCACTTATATGGGTTGTTTTGTAAAAAAAAAATTGGGTTATTTCTATTTTTTTCACTAAAAAGCTTGAAATTTCATTAATGTGCTCAATTTTATGTCTTTTTTGAGGACCTTAACAAAATTTTAATTAATCGCTTAGATATTTTAAAAGTAGATTATTTATGGTGTTTTCCACATATATGGGTTGTTTTGTAAACAAATTTTGGGTTTTTTTTTTTTTTTTTCACTAAGATGCAAGATATTTTATTGATATGTTTATGTGATTGTCATTATGAGGCCCTTCTCAAATATTTCTTATTTTTATTGAATTATTTAGATCTTTCAAATACAAATTATTTGTGGTATTTATAACATATAGGTGTTGTGTTTTTTAAAATATTTGTTTTTTTTATTTTTAATCGCAAAAAAGACCAAGCAATTTCATTGTGTTCAATTATGGGTCATTTTGAGGTCCTTTTTTAAATTTTCTTATGGAATTTTTTAATTATTGCTTTGATCTTTTAAATACAGTTTATTTATTATATTTTCTACATATATGGGTTGTATCTAAAAAATAGGTTATTTATATTTTTAAATAAGCAAGGGATTTCTTTTACAGATTCATTTATTTGTCTTTTTGAAGTCCTTTTTCAAAATTTTTTAAAAGATATTTTAATTTATTTGATTAAATATTTTATATTTAGATTATTTATAGTTTTTTTAACATATAGGGGTTGTATTTTGTATTTTAGAAAATTATTTCTATTTTTTACCTCAAAAAAGCATGCTTTTTCATTGCCGTATCCAGCGGTTGGTCTATTTTTGAAGCTTTTTAATGATAACTGGTTTTGTACATTAATTTTTTGGTAATATATAATATTATGATTTTAGTTTTTTAAAATCTTTTTAACATATCTGAAGGTTATTTTGAATAAAAAATTTAAACATTTTGATTTTTACCTCAAAAAGACAGGAAATTTTTATGCTTTGTTTAGAAATTGCTGGTTTTGAAGCTTTTGTTATTAATCTCAATCTAATTTTTTTTCAGAATATGCCTCGCCACAGCCGACGTTTACTTGGTAGGAATACGGCTGCTTCCAGGAGATATAGGAATGCTAGAGCTATTGAGACACCACTTCAAAGTGAGACGCGTCGTGCGCTTCGCCGTCTTAGATATTCTGAAGCCCGCGTCGCAGCTACACAAACTATGCAAGTTCCTGTTCAGCGTATTCAGCTTTGGACTCATAAGCCGTTTTCAGGTTAGCAGTATAAAGCCCATATTGATTATAAAGCTGATTCATCTGTCGATATAGGCCAAATGTCTCGGGTATGCCAGTTTTGCTCTGCTTTGAGATTTAAAGATGATGTAATGTAATAGAAACAAAATAAACCTCATCCTACCTAATATACATTACTTCTGAGGATTAAAGATTTTTATTTGTGTTGAGAATTTTAGCATGCATTTCTCTATTTCTTTTCTTATCTTGCAAAGCTAATGGATTGTTTAGGTTGCTTATTTTTGACTCGCCAATTTGTTTAGTGATAAAGTGGTATAGCGTTCTTTTTCAGAGCATCACCCCACAAAAAAATTACCTGACCTTTCCTAATATTCAGATAGATTTATTATATCAACATACTAGACTACAAACATTCCCTCGAGTAAAACCCGGGCGGAGCCGGGTACACCCGCTAGTATATATATAATTAAAGGTACTCATAAAGGTTAGCGATTTAAAAGTTTATTTCATAATTTTAGATTGTATAAGAAACATATTTTCATTTAGGTAGTGTACTTTATTTTAAAAAGATTAAATAATTGTGGGGTTAAATAAAACGTTATTCCAATTATTTTCTTCAGCTAGAAATCAATAATATTTTTATTTATTCACTTAAGTTAATTTGTTGAAATCTAAAAGGAAACACGGGAGACGGGAGATACTTGGCCGAATGTGAATTGGTCGTGACGTCACGGTGGCTATTGCATCATCTGGTATTGCAGCAACTCTTTTGGACGGTGGTCGAACAGCATTTGAAACTCCAACATGTAATATTAGCAAATATTCTGGGATGGGAAAAGTACTAAGATCATGTGAGCTTATACGAGTAATATGGGATGAATGCACCATGGTACACAAGAAATCTTTGGAAGCAATCAATCGTACATTAAAAGATTTGAGAGGAAATGAGCAACTCTTTGGTGGTGCACTTATTTTGCTAGCTGGTGATTTTCGACAAACTCTACCAGTTATACCACGTTCAACACCTGCAGATGAATTGAATGCATGTCTAAAATCATCAGTGTTATGGCGGTATGTGGAGAAAATATCTTTAAAGACCAATATGCGTGTTCAATTACAACAAGATTAATCTTCTGAACGATTTTCAAAACAATTGTTTGATATTGGGAATGGTAAAATGGAAATGAACGAATCCACACACTGTATTGCATTACAAGAAAACTTTTGTCACTTTGTACAATCCACTGATGAATTGATTGCCAAATTTTTCCAAATTTATCGCAGAATTATAAAAATAATCATTGGGTTAGTGAGCGTGCTATATTGTCAGCCAGAAACATTGAAGTGAATTTAATTAAATGCACAATTCAAAATAAAATACCTGAAGAAGAAACAACATATAAATCCATAGATACTGTTGTCAATCCCGATGAATCAGATAATTATCAAAAGAATTTTTAAATTCATTGGATCTACCAGGAATGCCACCGTATATTTTATCTTTGAAAATTGGTTCCCCAATCATCCTTCTACGAAATATATGACTATGCAATGGAACTAGGCTATCAGTAAAAATATTAATGAATACCATAATTGAGGCAACCTTTATAAATGGAAAATATCAAGGGGAACATGTATTGCTACCGCGTATTCCTATGATACCAATGGATACTCCATTTGAATTCAAACATTTACAGTTTCCTGTACCATTAACAAAGCACAGGGACAATCATTGCAAGTATGTGGATTAAATTTGATAAATCCATGCTTCTCACAAGGACAGCTGTACGTTGGGTGTTCACGAGTTGGAAAACCATCAAATTTATTTGTTCTTGAACCAGATAGGAAATCAAAAAATGTCGTATATTTACAAGCACTAATAAGATAAATTTACTATCAATAATCAAATATTATTCATCTCATGATAATATTTATTAATTACAAAATTGTTGTTCAATTGAAATTCGTTTGCAATATTGTTTAATATCACAAATGAAGAAGCATGTTTATTCTACCATTAACTATGCATATCTATGTTTTGTACATATGTTATATTCAAACTAGACGAATGGCCCGGGCAACGCCCGGGTTTTACCCGAGTGCGTATATATATTAAAAACGTTTTAATTCAAATACTATTCGTTACAATTATAAATTGGCGCCATGGATGTCACTCTTGTGAAACGTCCCGTTCCAAACTGTGTGTTTTTAAAATGTTTTAATTAAAATACTATTCGTTACAATTATAAGGTACTTATATATATTTATAAAGGTTCTCATAAAAAAAGGTTACCGATTTAAAAGTTTATTTTATTTTATTTAAAGAAACATATTTTCATTTAAGTATTGATATTTATTTTAAAAGATTAAGTAATTGTGCAAAACGATAATTGCCTTAAAAAGAAATTGCCTTAAAAAAAAGAAACATTCGCGGTGATTTTGTCTTGCATTCGTTTATACAATTATTATAAATATTGGCATCATATATTAAAAATACAATATAACGCGGCTGATGATTGTAAAACGAAATTTGCAATTATACCGCGAATGTTTCTTTTAAACAAAAATCGAAATCTATTTTAAAGAGAAATAACGATTATTTCTAACTTTAAGGATGAAGTATGATAGGATGAATTGTGAAGAGTAATGACAAACGGAAAAATAAAAGTGTCCAGGGGCGGGAATCGCCTATAGATTTCGATTTTTGTTTGAAAGAAACATTCGCGGTATAATTGCAATTTTCGTTTTACAATCATCAGCCGCGTTATATTGTATTTTTAATGTATTATAAGTTACTTTAAATATTATTTACGAACGGAAAAATACGTCCAGGGTAGCCTAGTGGACATGGCACCTGCCCGGTAAGCAGAAGGTTGTGGGTTCGATTCCCGCCCCTGGATACTTTTATTTTTCCGTTTGTCATTACTCTTTACAATTCATCCTATCATACTCCATCCTTTAAGTTAGAAATAATCGTTATTTCTCTTTAAAATAGATTTCGATTTTTGTTTGAAAGAAACATTCGCGGTATAATTGCAATTTTCGTTTTACAATCATCAGCCGCGTTATATTGTATTTTTAATGTATTATAAGTTACTTTAAATATTATTTACGAACGGAAAAATACGTCCAGGGTAGCCTAGTGGACATGGCACCTGCCCGGTAAGCAGAAGGTTGTGGGTTCGATTCCCGCCCCTGGATACTTTTATTTTTCCGTTTGTCATTACTCTTTACAATTCATCCTATCATACTTCATCCTTAAAGTTAGAAATAATCGTTATTTCTCTTTAAAATAGATTTCCATTTTTGTTTAAAAGAAACATTCGCGGTATAATTGCAATTTTCGTTTTATTGGCATCATATATTAACTTTATGAACGGAAAAATATGTCCAGGGTAGCCTAGTGGTCATGGCATCTGCCCGGTAAGCGAAAGGTCGTGGGTTCGATTCCCATCCCTTGACACTTTTTTTATTTTATCCAATCTGACCAAAATCATTCCGTGAACTTCACACAGTGAACTTCACACAGACAGAATAGGGCAATTATATAAGTAGATGACTTATATGTAGGGATAATTTCATTATTAATTTTCATTTTGATGTATTGTATACATTTTATCATAAATAAATTATGTTTTAGGTATCAAAACTGCCTTTTTGTACAAATACAGCAACGTGTGAACGGGTACAGCTTATCTTCATAAAAGAGTTTAAGTAGAGAGTGGATGTATGCTCTCGAAAAATAATTTTTATCAAATACTGGTTGGGTAAACTTTCACTAGGGTAAAACCCGGGCGAAGCCGGGTACATCCGCTAGTATATATATAAAAATAAATGTATGTGTGTGTGTGTTTGTCCTTTATGCCTGACCAAACCACTCATTGAAACGCCATGAAACTTTGGGAAGCTATTTAGTATAGTACTGGGAAGGTTTCTGAAAAATAATTTCTTGAATATCTTGAATATCCTTAGTTATTTGCAGATTTGTAGATTTAACTCGCAAGCAGCGCCCCCATTGCGACGATGATAACAAGTTTTTTTATCTACAAGTTTTATTATAACTGAGTTTATTATCTTGAAGATTATTTATCAAAAGTAAAATTTTCTACCTATTAATTGCGCACAAGTCAAAGTTAGTTATCGAGTATTTTTCAAGGGACCGGGAAAAAATGTTCACTAGATAAAACGATGATTTTTTAATGTAGAAAATTAGGAAAGACAAAATTCAGGATCACACGGCAATTTATTTGAGACAAGAATAATGATACAATTCCAAGGGAAGATTATATTCCTTTAACTTCCAATTACCGAGGAACCCAATTAATATTGATTTTATTCAACTTATCCAGTATTTTTCAAGGGACCGGGAAAAAATGTTCACTTTATCGAGAGATTCAAATTTACGAGTTTCAAATTATCAAAATATATCTATTATTATTTTTTATAAGTTTATAGAGAATTGTTTTAACAAATGTTCGTTAGACAAACCTTTACTCGGGTAAAACCCGGGCGAAGCCGGGTACATCCGCTAGTAAAGAATAAAATAATTGATTAATGTTAAAATGTTTTATCCACATCCTTTCCTTTATATATCTATAAAAATGAAATCCAAAATCGATGTTTGTTATCGCGTTGCGCAAAATCTACAAAATCAATAATTATGAAATTTCGCAAGTAGGTAGCTGAAGATTTCATTTAACATATAGGCTATTCAAAAAACTGAAAAGGTTAATGTGCTTTTAAAAAAAAAATGTAAAACCAAAAAGCGTTGGTTCCAGCCTTTTACCGCTTGGCGCCGCACTGAAGCGACGTTAAATGAATTTGATTAGTTAATAATTTTACACGTAGTTTGTTAGTTTTTTTACACGATGAATGTTTCTAAAAGGTAATATTATCCAATCGCCTTGAAACTTTAGGAAGTTATTTACTATACTACTGGTAAGGTTTATGGTTTGAATTTGATTTGAAATAAATATTTGTTGCAATTTTATTTTCAAATTTTTACTTTCACTCGCAAGCAGCGCCTCTCGCGGTTTCTGGTGAAATTCCATTTATAAATTGTTGAAATGCTATAATGTGTTCCAAGTATGATAAATATAATATTCAATTTGAGGATTTAGTAATTTAATATTCCAATAACGTTGTAAAAAACTTGGCATTTCAATATTAATATACTAGCGAATGTAGCCGGCTTCGCTCGGTTTTTACCCAAGTAAAGTTTGTCTAACGAACATTTGTTAAAACAATTCTAGCAAACATCCAATCCCTACTGAATATTTACTTGTTAAGATAACTTTATGTTTGATTATCTGCTCCACCTAGCTCTACCCGTTGAAACGTTGCTGTCTTTGAACAAAAAGGCAGTTTTGATACCTAAAACATAATTTATTAATGATCAAATGTATACAATACATCAAAATGAAACCATGTGCTCGTGGTCAGGAGATTCCTTCTTTATTTTTAAATATTGTTATATACGTTTATATATATAGATATTAATTAAATGGCATATTTTGGTCCTAAAATAAAACAAACATTTCAATTAATATAAAATTATATAATAATTTAATATAAATTGGCATTTTATATTGAATAAAATGCTTGTTTTATTTCAGATCCAAAATATGTCATTTAATTAATAATTTCATATGGAATGCTCAATATTCAAGATATATAGATATTTGAAGATAATATCTTATTTAAAATTTAATAAATGTTTTCGAAAATATTAAGTGTTTCAAAAATATATTTTAACGCATATAACAATATTTATATTTATATATCTTTATAAATCTATATATAGGTGGATTGGATGTTTTCTAGAATAGTTTTAACAAATGTTTGTTAGGCAAACTTTTACTCGGGTAAAAACCGGGCGAAGCCGGGTACATTCGCTAAATAGAGTTATTTACAAAAGTTCATTTGTGGCAAGATATTATTCCTTTAACTTCAAATTACCGAGTGGACCAATTAATATTGATTTTATTCAACTTATCGAGTATTTTCAAGGGACCGGAAAAAAAATCAAATTATCGAGAGTATAGACAAGTATAGATTCAGTAGGGATTGAAGGTTTGCTAGAATCGTTTTAACAAATGTTCGTTAGGCACACTTTTACTAGGGTAAAAACAGGGCGAATCCGGGAACATATATATATGTGATGAAGTACCTTTGACTCTTGTAGAATCTTGTCGACTAAATCTGTGATGAGTGATCCAGTCGACTTAAACTATGGTGTGAGTCCCTGTCGACTCTCGCTATACTGTGTTGACCGAGAGGAACAGTAAGGATGGGGAATTTTCCAGTACCTCTCTGCCCCTTGTAAGGCCTTTAACAGTTCTCACAGAGTACAGGCAGTCGTGGTCGAGGCAGAGTGGAAAGCTTGGGAATGTCATACACAAAAAACGAAGACACAGTTTCACTAGGAAAGTTCCGTGAACAGATAAAAGTTGAGCTAGGAGCGAAAGATGGAGATAAAATAGTTCTTACTTGTCTACATGGTCGATGAGGAGGACCTTAATGACAACCGACGAGGGCTCGCGCTGATGGTTAAGTGACTATCAAGTGACTATATTTTTGGCTAAGACGGGGGCCTTTTATATATTTTACGAGAAAGGGAGTATTGCATTTCAGCTGGTGCGACAGGGGCGTGGATCGTCTGGCGAAATTGTACACTGGCGCCGTGGCAGTTTCCATCTTTAGACCTTGTTGTTTTGGGACTGCTATATGCTCGATCTCTGCGTTAGCTCAGCTCTTAATCTATTACAGAGTTTTATTTATTTATCTTCAGTTTGTACAAAGTACATTACATATGATGATGTAATGACACATGTCAATCATGCGTATAATCATTTACAGATGTGTTTCTATTATACAACATTAAAATCTTGTTATAAGTTATTTACAATATGGGTTGTTGGTTTAAATTACCATATGAATATATATAATTATTTTCAAATATACTTCGAAACATTTCGATAAACTAAGTTATATACGTATTTGGGTTACCAACTAACAACTTCAAGCTCAACTCAACAGGGGGCGCAACATTTTTAAAACGAGTCGCTAAATGCTTTTAAATCCTCACATAAGGCTCTTGGGTTCAATGGTTTGGTCATTCTTGCTATATGAAGCTCCGATTTGGGCAAATAACCAGAAAAAAAATTGGTAGATCAGATTCAGGACAATTTTCTCCGGCGGCTCTTAAATTTACCTAGATATACTCCGGGTTATATTCTGCGCATGGAATGTGGACGAACGTCATTGGGAATTACAGTATCAAAATTAACCATCAGGTTCTGGCTTAAAATTCAGAAAATGGACAATAGCCGATTTTTCCATATACGTCTAACACAACTACTGGAGATAACAAGAATAAGAAATTTATATATCAGCGGTGCGGAAGGTTTGGCCAAAATACTCAATTCAACTGTTTTTTTTTTTGTTGTTGTTGTTGATCCCTTGCAATGATATAAGCATGATCCAGAGGAATATTCTATCAATAATCTATATAGCAACAGAACAATCTATACAAACTGATTAGTGTAAAATAAAAAATTCTAAATTGTATTCTCACTATAAGTACGGCCAGTAAAAGGCTATAGTGCACAACAGAGAATATTTCATTCTCTTTACAGGAAAACCATACAAAAACTTTAGTAAGGGGGATATATAATATGCAATCTTTGCAGAGAAAAATATATAAATTGAAATATCTCATTACATCTTTGAGTGTCAGTATATTAGCGAAAAAAAAAGAGAGACTTTATTCTCAAAAGTTAAAACGACAGACAACTTACTTCATTGCAAAGTATTTCAACCAGCGTCAAATTAGGTCGAATGGTTGCTCTCTGTCCCTGTACTACATTTACAAAGCAGTAAATAGAATAAGAACTTGGATTCATTGTTTTTTCCTCCATTGTATAATAATGATTGATCATCGTGAGGGTATCTTTGCAAACCGGCAATGGAGAGGAATATCTGTATAAGAATGGTATTTTAATAAAAGATGTATGTGCGATAAACTGAGTTGATTTTTTATTAAGTGGACGAAGATTAAAAAATCAAAGATTCAATACTTTATAAACGATAAGTTCCTTTAAAATGAATAAACTTATCGGTTAAAAACTAGTATTGTATATTATTGATATTTTAATCTTCCCCTATTTGATAAACTAGGAATGCGATTAATTTTGACAAAA